TGACCAGTAGATCAATTTCTCAATAAGGAAATCTAAACATCACTTGCAGGCACTCAAATATTCTGTGCCAGGTTTGTAGCACAGCAATAATTTTTAAAGTTCATTAATTTTAGGGTTAGAGTTTAGAATAAGGTTAGAGGTTAAATGATTATATAGTAAAATCATTCAAAGAAAACTTTTTGTTAATGCATCAAAGGTGGTTTTTTTTATGAAGTTTTTTGAGAAATAAGCGATTTTTATCAAAATGAATGATTGTTTTTAAATTTCTTGATCGTGTTACATTACACTCGATCCTTGAAATCTGATTTGTGGATCCGGAGATCTGTGCCACAATGATCGACAAAACCTGGCACAGAATATTTGAGTGCCACTTGCAGAAATAAATCCGGTTAATCCATTATTATTATTACACACGTTATTTCACACTTGGATATTTCACACTCAGATATAGGGATGGCTATTAGTGTTATGTATGCCGACGTAAAAGACATTTAGTCTTGATTGTTCGGATCAAATGAAGCATGAACAATCGGAACATGGTATAGTGATACCTGAAAACGAAAAAGTGAATGTGGATGAAAACAATAAACGGAAGAAAAAGAAGAATCATACGTATCCGGTTAATAAAATTGAGGATATAAGGCTTATTAGGTTTGGTAATAATAAATATGCGAAAAGCATTCGAAGGCGTGGTGAAAGTGTTAAAACGTATAAGCCAAGAACAAAGGGGAAAACAAATGTTAATTCAGGTGGTCAAGGCAATTTGAAAATGAAAAGAGAAACGAAACTAAAAGACAAACCTGAAGGTTCCAACAAAAAGAGGACATTCAATCGTTATATAAAAGCTGCTAACGACAGATATAAAATGGTCGAATGGAATTTAAAATATGCAGAAGGTGGTAGTTTATATAAACAGTGTGATCTTGGATTATGCGATCGAAATCGAATAGGCGGAGCTGATGATAAACAATTGGCAGCTGAAGGGGAATTAAAATTTGACAAAGAGGTTCTTGACAACTGCTATCGAAGTGATGAGGCGATGGTAGTGATGAAAGCACCATTGGACGAAGTAATGAGAATGGATGCGATGATGAGGGGTTTATTAGAATCGTTGATGAAAACTGAGTGTGATAGTAACGATGCAGATAATATAAATGGTGAAATCAAGGAGTGCGAAAGGGGTGTTAATGAAAAGCAAGAGGATACAAACAGAAAGGTGATTGCAAATAAAAAG